TCAATGGAAAAAATTTAGGGTGTGTATGGGTCGATTTGGTTTAATTTTTATGTTAAACCAAATTGAATCGGTTTTAATGATATGGTTCTTCAAATCGAACCAATTTTAATTTTTTCAAACCGATTTTGCTTTTCTTGAATCAGTTTTGAAACCGGTTTATGGTTCCGAACAAGTTTTGTTTTACAATTGATTTGGAGCCAGTTTATGTCTTAATCGATTTTGAATTGAATCTGAATCAGTTCTATATTGATTTTTACCATTTTAAACCATTTTTAAACTTTGGTCATATTAATTTTGACTTATTAACGTGAGCTGATTTAATAGTATGTTATATTCATAGTGTGATTTGATACAAGGACATTTTTTTTCTTTTGAATGAAAATGTGATCCAACCTATTTATTCTTTCTACACAAAAAATTTTCTTTACAATTTTAAGTTTTCAGTTTTCAATTTATAAAAGGTTTTAATGTTTCTACAATGAAGATAGATAAGTTATCTACATTTACTTCCAAAACGACATCGTTTTAGGTTGAAAAATTAATAAATTATAATGAGAAAAACTATTATAACCTTGAAATAAATTATAATTACAAAAATACTTTGATTTCTGTCTCAAAATGATATCGTTTTGGGCTCAATGTAGATAAACTACAAAAAAGTCATTTTTTTTACAATAAATTTATTTATTTTTTACCCATGATATATATATATACATATTTATCATTTCTGGCCCACTCACGTAAGAATGAGTGGATTTCATAAAAAAAAAAAATTCTCTCATTTTCATAATGTGATTCATTTTTATTTTATTTTTGTAATATAATGTGATTCATTTACTTTTATGTGAGTGTGGAAGAGAAAAAATATTTATAGAAAAAATGGAAATATTTTTTTCATTTATATATACGCTATTTTATTTTTATATAGTTTTTATTATTTGTTTGAAACTAATTTTCTTTATTTTACATATCCTTAAATTCTAATTTTAACACGTACTTTTAACATGATATCTAAATCATATGTTAAAAATATTTTCCTTTTTGAACATTCCTAAAAGTTGAGATTCTCACTTTTTATGTAGGTAAAGTTAATTTTGTTCAATGATAAAATGCAACTAAAATTAATGTATTACCATAGTTGATTTTAATTTTTTTTTGAAGAAATACCTATTCATACGTTATTATAAAATATAGTATGAGAGTGATATTTTTTAAAAATTAAAAAATATTAATTTTTAAAAATAAAAACTAATATAAGTATAACATATTTTTAAATTTTGGAAGGAAAATAAATTTGTTTTTGATTGGCTAGAAAACCGAATTGATCAGTTCTTTTGGTTCTTAAACCATTCAGTTAAAATAATTTAATTAATTCATAAATTACTTTAGATATAATAATTCAGTTTATGAATTTGTTTAAAAACAGAAAAAAAATGTTTGTTATTTAAAAAAAATATAATTTTATGTCATTTTAAGTGAAATGATTGTATTTTTTTAATTTTTTATATTCTCTCTCATCCATAAAATTAAGAGGAGAGAGAAAGAGAGATCATTTTATTTAAAATGACATAAAATTATATAATTTTAAGATGACAAATATTTTTTTCCTTTTTTTAATATAATTCAGTTCGATTCTTTAATTCTTTTAAGAGTAAACCTCCTTTTTGGTCCCTGGCAATATCTACGAAATTCTTTTTAGTCCTTGACAATAAAAAAAGACCAAATTGGTCCCTAAAATTATGAAAAAAGGGCCACATTAATCCTTATGTCAACTCCTCCATCACTAACGTGACCCTTTTTGCATACTGTTAGGGACCAATTTGATCCTTTTTTATTACCAAGGACTAAAAAAGATTTCGTAGATATTGCCAGAGACCAAAAAGAGTGTTTACTCTTCTTTTAAATTTGTTGTAAACTCTGGAGGAAATTAAGTAACATAAAAGGCCACGCAAGACAAGACCTCAAGTGAATTGACATAATTCTTATCGTTTCTTTATTTATTTCTTTTGTCTTTATATATTTGTTTTCATTGATTATTAAAAGAAAAAATTACTCTCATGTTTTGAAGAGTAGTTCTCTTCCTATAGACTCATTATTTTTCATACTGTTCTCTTTACTTTTTGGAAAAATATATTCTTATGTTGTAGGAGAATATTTTTCTCTCCTATATATATATCGATTTTCGTGTTATTTTTTTTTCTCTTTTTTTATAAGTAAGTGTGTCCTACACTTGATTGTCTCTATAACATATAACATGAGAGAATTGTTCTCTTATTACATAAGAATAATAAAGTCCTTTCTTTTTTTATAAATAAATGGGTTCACTACATAATTGTATATATGATAGAAGATAAGATATCTCGTATAACATAAAATTAGTAAACTCCGTTTGGATGGACTTTTTTTTTTTCAAAAGTTGTTTTTTTTAAGAAAAAAAGCACTTCTCGAAAAAAGTCTATTTGGATGCCAGTTTATAAAAAAAGCAGAAGTCATAAAAAAAGTCAAAAACCTACTTTTTTCAGAAGTTAAAAATTTTAACTTAAAAAAAACAGAAATCAAAAGCCAAATAATTTTCTCAAAAATCAAATATTTTTTTAAAAATCTAAATTGCTGTAACTTTTATAAAAAGTACTTTTAAAATAAAAAAAATGATAAAAAGAACTTTCTTAAAAAACCAATACAAACGCACCCTTAATGTTGCTTCACTCCGTGAACATACATTGTCATTGTCAATATGGGCCTTAGCCTCTTATTTTAATTTTTAATTTAACATTTCCATAAAGACACGCCGTCCTAATATCATATTGCTCTTATTTTTTCTTATAAAATATAAGGAAAAAATATTTTATCTTTTAAATGACATAATTTCACTCTCATAAATAAGTAATAGGATCCATACTTTTATTTTTTTTGTTGACTCTCTCTCTTTCTTTATCTATCTCTTTCTCTCACTTAAAATGATATAATTTTACATCCTTTAAAATGATACACACTTTCTTAAAGTATAATTGACTGATTTCACTATTTTTGATTTGGATAACCATAGTCTTATGCCACATGTGATTGTTTTCTCCTGTTCTCCTCACATCTACCAATATGCATTTTTATTTATTTTTATTTTTTTGATTTTAAAAGTTGGCCCCACTTAAATTTGTTTCAGATGCTCTAGACAAATTTTTTTACTGTCACTGAAGAAAAGTAACACCCTTTTGATTTTGACCCTCCACAAAGAAGCGTTAAAAGTCCAAGATTGAGTTGCAAACTCGTGGTCGTGGATACAGGAAAAGAGCACCAACAAAATCTACTTTTAAATAGGGGGCGTTTGAACTTTAACAAGACGAGGAAGAATATTCTTATTATTAAAAAAATTTTACTATTAATTTATTACTTATTTAATTACCATTAAATTAAAGAGAAAATATGTTAAAAAAAATTTGAAAAAAAAAAATGTTGATCTAATGATATTTAAATAGGTAATGAATTGATAGTAAAAAAATTTGATACTAAAAATATCCTTCGTCTCCTCTAATAAGATATGGTCTGCAAACAGCAATCTTCCATAGCAATCTATATGTGACGACCAAACGTGTGATAGCTTGTCCTACCCAAATTTTGCCTAGAAAAGGATGAATGACAAAAATAAAAGAATCAATATGAATTAAAATAAAAGGAATATATTCGCATGAGACAATTTTGAATTATGTGAGAAATGTATTCCCCTTAAAATAAAGGATTTAATATTTATAAGAGATAAAATTATTTCTTACACATACATAAATATATGTGGGCCCACATGAGGTCATGGAAGAGAAGAAAGAGAGAGAAAAAATATGAATTCCACGCACTTTTATGTATGTGTAGGAAATAATTTTATCTACTACAATATGAAAAATATTAAACTCTAAAATAAATAGGAATAAAGTATCTAATGTTACTTTAAAAAAATTTGTCTAACGTTTACCGAAACGACGTCGTTTTGAGTTGAAAGAATAAAAAATTAGAATGATAAAGACTAACATAACCCTAGAATAAATCAAAGGGTAAAGGACTTCTCAAGTTAATGACAATGAGGATAAATTATATCCGGTGAGACTAAAACGATGTCGTTTTGTGGCAGAAATCAAGATATTTTTGTAATTCTAATTTATTACAAGGTTATATTAGTCTTTATCATTATAATTTTTTAATCTTACAACCTCAAAATGACATCTGAGATAAGTTTATCTCCATTGACTGAAGAAATACTTTTTCCTAAATTAAAATTAGAAACACACAATGATTTTCGTTCCAAAATAACGTGATACGTTGTATTTATGTCATTGATCTATATATATGAGGATTGTAATTTATTAAGTAATCAAATACACATAAATCAATGATTAAATTGAATGGAAAAGTATCTACCATTTTTTTTTTTTTTTTTGATAACAAGTATCTACCATTTTTTTTTTTTTTTGATAACATAGTATCTACCATTTTAAAAGACATAAAATTGTGTCATTTTAAGTGAGAGAAAAAGATAAATCATGGGAGAGAGAATAAGGGGTGGGGAAATTTTAATAGTGTGGGTTACACCTCTTTGTGAGAATGAAAAGACACAAAAAGTGTTATAAAAAAAAAAAAAAGCACAAAAAGAAATATAAAATTTAATTTTAAAAGTTTTAAAATTAAATGACACACCTTTTTTTTCCCCTCAATTGAAATATAAAATTTACTATTGTTATACTAATATAAATTCATCTTCTGCCTTTAAAATTTTTGTAAATATCATTATTCATATAGATTGTCAATCTCACTTTATTTTCCAAACATTAAAATTATAATTCTAGCACTTTCGTTGATACTTGATAGTGACGTTCTTGACCTTCTGGCAGAGCTTATTTTTGTTTTCTTCTTGAGCACCCTTTGTTGCAAATTGCAATACGTCATGGCTTAGGACATAGAAAGCAACAATGCAGAATTTCGTGACAATGTAGAGTTTCGTTTCGGCGTGAAATTTGGACCCAGTTTCCCATTACACAGTATCCAAACAAGAACGTGCAATGAGTCATATTTAGATCCTTTCTCCAGAAAAAAGACAAAAGCAAAATTGATGAATTTCATATAAATTATAATATTTTTCGCTTTCCCAGAGTTACAAGCCTGAATGAACATTCTCACTTGAGAGGGCGCGTCTTTTCACTTGGTATCTATAAATAAGTAAATCTACTTTACACTCTTATCTCATCAAAGCCTAACTGTGTTGTGTCATGGCTCTAATTAAGGTATATACTTGAAACCATTACATCTTCAACCACCGTTGTCTCCTCTCTTTTTTTTCCTCTTATTGTTATTGTTATCATCGTCATCTTTCATATCTCGGATTAACATGAATAGTTTATAAGATACTTTTAGCTTCATGGTAGGCACTTATGCCTCTCATGCTATTGGTTGTTTATGATTTTTATCCTACAGTTACAATTCACTCTGTTTGAGATGACCCAAATCTTAATTTTGTTTAAAGTTATGCTCTTTTACTTTTTTCTTGTGTTCATATTTTGGCATGAAACTATATGCTTTTTCCCATAAAGGAAAGGGTTTGAGTTCGATCTTCCCATGTTACTTTTTAGAGACATTTAAATATCTTCATTCCTGACTCACCTCGTACTCAGAATTAGTTCTATAGTCAGCTCAAAGAGTTGAAGCTCGTGGAGATACTAAAAGAGTCAACTCACCTCAAAGAAGCAATTAGAGTTGGATTAACTCTAAAAAAAAAAAAAACTATATGCTTTTTCCTCTCTTATTTTTCCCTTTTTCATAATTGTTCATGACGTTTCTGGAGTTTATTTGGCTGAATGGATACCCTGCCCTGTATATGCTGTTACCTTTTTTTAATATTTTTTGTGCAAACTGTTTTGCTTGTTTATAGTTTACTGAATTCTTTGTATACTTCCAAAGAGGACTACTTGGACATGATTGTCAGCATCCAGATTTCCCTTTTGTTCATTTCTGATTGAAGATTTCTCTTTTACTGTGTTGTCAGTGAATTTGATGAATATATATATCATTCTTTACAATCTGCATGTTTTAATATCTTTTTTAATCAATAATTAGTTAATTACTAATAAAGATTTTGCTTGACAGATCAACATGTGTTTTGTATCCCAAGATTTGGTACTTTCTTTGTCAATACTTCTTGTGCTGGTATTGGGCACACCATGCTCAGGTGTTCATGGGAAGACTGAAAATAATATAAAAACAGCTGTTTATCTGTCCCCCAAGTTTGAACTAGGACCGGGATCAGTTGCCAATAAATATTATTATGATATTGATTTTCCAAGAGGTCATGTTGCACTCAAGAGTTTCAATGCTGAAGTAGTTGATGAAGCTGGCAATCCTATTCCTCTCCATGAAACTTATCTCCACCATTGGGTTGTTGCAAGATACCATCAACCTAAGCATGTGACACACACAGAGTATGATGCCCATAGGATGCTTCACCAGTCTGGTTATATAGTTAGAAACAGTGGCATATGCCAGGAAGATGCTCTTGGACAGTATTTTGGCCTTGGATCTGAAACGCGAGGAACAGCTACACATATTCCAGATCCTTTTGGTATAGAAATAGGTAATCCTGCAGAAATTCCAGAAGGGTATGAGGAGAAATGGATGGTTAATATTCATGCCATTGATACACGTGGTGTAGAGGATAAGATGGGGTGCACTGAGTGCAAGTGTGACCTTTATAATGTTACTAAGGATGAATATGGAAGGCCTTTGAGGTCAGATTATTTAGGAGGTTTGTATTGTTGCTATGATTATACTCAGTGCAGGTTGAGGGAACGCTTTGAGGGCCCAAGGAGAAGCCTCTACTTAAGATACACAGTAAAATGGGTTGATTGGGATGATTTTATAGTGCCTGTTAAGATTTATATACTTGATGTTACTGATACTTTGCAAATATCAGATATTTCTAAAGGAATGAGCCCATATCATGATTGTCGGGTAAGTGAATTCATTAAGAAAAATGTAGATTGTCTCAATCTCAATTTGAATCCAAAAAGGTATAAGTGAGGAACTGAGATTTCTTTGTTACAGACTGAGTATGATGTTGAACCTTGCAGCAGAGACAATAAGGATGGTAATGGCTGTCATCATATGAAGAGGACAAGTCTCCCAATGCAAAGTGGTGGTTATGTCATATATGGTGTTGCTCATCAGCATTCAGGTGGAACTGGATCAACTCTTTTTGGACAGGTGATGTTCAACAATTACATTTTTTTTTTCGGAAATATGTACATACTTTTGCAATTTCAATTCGGGTGTGATAAAAGCCAAAGGTCTCCCCAAATATACTTTTTTCGACCTTAATAAGATTCAAATAATCACTTTTAACCACTGTGATTAGCACCACGTGGTGTTACAGTCATTCTTAAATTAACATTTGAATATCAACTTCTAGTGGCATGACTTTATACTAAAACCAATGATAAAATAAAAGAGGGTAATGAATAATGATTCTGCCCTTGAAATTTAAAAGGGATGGTAGTGTAGCTTTGTTTTCTAAAATATGTGCATAACATTTTCAGGATGGGAGGGTTATATGCTCTTCAATACCAAGTTATGGAAATGGAAAGGAAGCAGGAAATGAGGCAAACTACATTGTAGGAATGTCCACTTGTTATCCTCAACCAGGTTCAGTCAAGATATTTGATGGTGAAATTGTAACTCTAGAGTCTAACTACAGCAGCAGCAGAGGGCACACTGGAGTCATGGGACTTTTCTACCTATTGGTGGCAGAACAGCTGCCACCCCCCCAACCCTTCAGACATTCCACTCGTTCTTCATTCTTCATGGATATAAATAATATATTAAATTGATAGGTAATTAGTAACATGCTTATATATGTGGAGTGGAGTGTCATCGGTGGTATCTATGTAAGTAAGTATATGATGATCAAAAGAAATAAGACACAATTGGGAAGTGTAATTGGAAATATTATACTTGTCCATTGTCTGCAGCTATAGGACAACACAGGCAAGAGCCGGCAAAGGGTATATTCATTAGTGTGAAGAATATAGTAATTGGATTATCAGTCATTTGATTCCGTGTGTTGGTGATAGTTTTTACCGTTGTCCTAAATTACTTACTCTTGCTTATATGGCTATGTAATATATTTTTGGTACCATATGATATAACTCAGTCTACGCATACAATTGTCTTCCATATTACGATGAAATGTCTCTAGATTAATAGAACCATATTTATTTATCTTTGACTAAATACTCATCTAATAATTTAAGGCAAAAGTATTTCTACCTCTGCGGCAGAAATACTTTGTCTGCCACAGATACATGTTTACCAGTATTTGATGTCGAATTCCGATTTTTTTTTAAAATAAAATAAAATGATAATCTGACGTTAGATTCTGATGAATATGATCTATCTTTCACAATTATAGAAAAATGGAACCTCATAATTTAATTATTGGAACACTCGGAAAGGGTGCCGTAAAGCTCTTGACAAAGCACAGAATCATACTCGTGTACTATATTTGAAAATTTTATGGAATCAAAGTTAATTTCATTAGAAGAGAGACATTCATGTAAACAAACAATTTGATGAATAAATTTAATCTAAATAATTAATAGATAAAATAATAAAAACAATTTTTTTTTACATAATTTAAATATTATCTTATTCGTATCGTCGTCGTTATGGCAGAGAAATAATGAATAGTGACCAAATTGTCATGTTTTTTAAAATTTTTGCCTAAATACCATGTAATTTTTACCAGGTTGCCCCAAGTCCAAATTTATTACTAGTTATAGCGAACTTTGTTAGGCCACGTGTCATGTTCTCATCAGCATACCAAGTTCGTTAACAATCATAACAAATTTAGTTCAATCAGTTTTTTTTTTTGTAAAGTGTGCATATGTCACAAAATCATGGGCGACAAAGTTCGCTACGACTGGTAGTAAATTTGGTACGCTAATGAGAATGTGTCACGTGGCCTAACCAAGTTCACTACGGCTGATATTAAATTTAAACGTATAATAACCCTAATTATATGACTTTTAAATTAGAGGGTTATAATGATGACCTTATAGTCATAAATGGAATGAGCATAAAATTATAAGAATTTTGATACCCATATTGAGGTATTATGCACAGATGAATTTTCATTTGTCAAATTTGACTGCTGACGTAATAACAGTTAGTAGAATAGCTCCAAGTTAGCAAATTATAGTTAGAGAGCTAATCTAATGATATAAACATCATGAATGAGGTTAGGATATGATTTGGTGAAGATTGATACCCATATTGGGGTATTTTTGAAAAGTCACTTCTGCCGGGTATTTTGTACTGCTGTAGCAGCATCCGGTAGAATCCCGGAACAGGAAAAAGATAAGAAAATAGAAATAAAGACCAATATATGCCTAACAAGTCATAATTAGACCAAAAATGTTAAAGTTAAGAAGATTATGAAATCCGGGTACAGTTAAAAACACCGGTAAAGACTACAGTGCAATTAAACAACTGTTAGTGGATCTGTGACCTACTAATCAAATTTTTAAGTTATGAACATGATAATTAGACAAAATTAATGTTAAGTACTTAAAGTTAGGGTCTTGAGAGTTTTCGGGTAAAAATTTGACGACGGATCAGTTAAAAATTACACCGGGTCTCACTAAAGGACGAATATCACTTAAGTGACATGGCACCCCTCATTAGGGCACCCTCCTCTCCTTCCCTTCCATTTCTGATCAGCAGCCCTTCACCTCCTTCTCTCTCTAAGTTTCAAATTTTGAAAACTCTCTCACTTCTCTCTAAGATTTCTTCACCTAAATCTCTCTAAACCACCAAACTTCCTGCACAAAGATTGTTCCCCTCACTCTCCTCTTCACAACCATACCATTTTCATGGTGTGAATCAAAAATTTCGTGTCCCTTATCATCCCAAACAGCCATGGTTTTGTGGAGAGCAAAGGCTATGGAGTTGTGTTCTTGAGCTCTCTTGAAGAATCACACTTGCTTGCTTGTTTCCTTTGATTTTTGGGTAAGTGTTCTTAAATTTTTTCATGAAAAATATCATCTTTTCTTCTTATGTTCTTGAGCCTAACTCATGAGCATGTTCATGAAGGTGTGTGCTTGCCTAAAGGTGTGTTCTTGGTGGAAAAAGGTGGAGACTTGAGCTAAAGGAGAAACCTTGAAGATGTAAGCTCCCACTTGGGAAATATGAACCAAAAGCCTCCCTTTTCTTGTTGAGTGCCTTGGTTTTGATATGTTCATGAGGAGAATGTTGTTTAAAATTTCGTAATGTCATGGTTTGATGATGATTCTTAAGTGTGTGTGTGTTTGGAACCATGGAATGATGGATTGGATGACTAAAGGTGCCACCTTTGGACCTTTGAGTGATGTTCATGTAAAAAGATGACTATGAACTCAAAAATGGACCATGAACATTTCAGCCATATCATGTAAGGATAGGGTTTGATGACAAAAAAATGTTATTAAGTTGTTAAGTGTGGAAAAATGATTAGAAAGATTAACTAGGTGGGTTAACTCTAAGTAAAACTCTCTAATCATGATTAATAATGGCTAAAAATCCTAATTAATATAGCTAATCAAATCTGCCCCATAAAGTACATAAGGGTTTAGTTGTGTTAAAATTAAGGAGATGATGAATTAGGTGATTAATTAAGGGTAGAGATTAATTAACAAAAGTAATCAAGGATTTAACTCTAAAATTGGACTAAAGTAAGGTTTAGGTACACTAATTAAATAATTAGTAAAATTTAAGTATCATGACATAATGGGACTAAGGATATTTCATAACGTGACTTAATAATAGAAAAATCCAAGAATTAATGTGAATTAGGATTTATAATCAAAAGTAATTAAGGTTTGTTAAGTAAACACATTTAAGGCTAAGTAACCAGTTTTTAGGCAAAATTGGGGAGAGCATATCTTCCTCCACAGAGATCATATAGGGATGTGCCTTATATCAAATTGACTATTGAGATGTTATCTACGTGGTGTCAAAATTTGGTATCAATTGAAGATATATTCCATTCTGTATGTTCGTTTGAGTGAGGACTGCACAGGGAGGCATGTGCAGGGGTGCTGTACATGGCTGACACTTCCATGAATTTTTTCTCCCTCAATTATTACTCAAATTAGGCTCATAATATGTCTAATTAAAGATAAATGTGTCTAGTTGTCTACATAAAAATTTTAGAGCAAATTATTTAGTATAATTTTCATAATCGCAGAAATGGTAAAGGATGTTTAGGGCCCTGTTCGGAGTTGGCAAACAGCTTTGTTTGTCCAACTTCAAATGGTGATAACCGGAGCTAGGAAACTTCAAATGAGGCATATGATACCTTTTTGGAAAGGTAATTGAGTCTAGATTAACATACTAAAAGATGAGAATTTTATAACAAGTGAGTCACGCCCAGTAACTAGAAAACAGAAGCATGTACAGTTATGGAAAAACCGTAAAAGTGATATTTAAGCTAAGTGAGCTTATGGGAACCCTTAGTAACTTATAATAATCATAAATATGACTTGGATGAGTTGAAAATAATCTAAGTGAGCCTTGCATGTGATTCTAAGCTATGTAAGTAATTGAAGATTAAAGTGGCTTGTAATAATGCACTAAAATATGTAATAAGTTATAATTGGTCTAGGCTTGTAATGGGCACATTATTGGCATATGAGTATGAAAAGTGGAATCATTAAATGATTAAGTCGTGGATATGACTTGATTAATTAATATGTAATTAATGATGTGAATGGTTCCTACTCTAGGTGTGCCTAGAGAACCGTGCACTTGAGGATTTTGTTGGAGCATATGTATTATATTGGAGTGTGGGCTTGTGCTAAGCTCCCTAAGGTAAGCTCTTAGTTCTAGTTGACTCCTCTCTCTTGTGGCCCCACCATGATGGTGGGCATTATGGTTATATTGTATGAAAGTATATGGTATGATGTATATGTGCATTCATTCACATTCATATAGATGTTATATGATCTTGATGTTATGATGATGCACTGATGATATATGTTATGAGGATCCTGGCCAGTGATCATGGTGTGTAGGCTGCCTATGACTTGACTCTGGGAGCTATTTCATACTGAGGTTGTGTTGACTGTCTATGGCTTGACCCTGGAAGTCACACATGTGTAACCGTCTATGGCTTTGACCCTAGGGTTACACAAGGATGATATGATGATGCTATGTTTATGCTGTATGTATGTATTATATGCTTTATATCTGACTTGTTATGCAGGAAGTGGGCTCAGGGGTTAGAGGATCCTCTATGAACCTTGAGCTTACTGAGATGTTGTTATCTTACCCCGTTTGGGGACATCATTTCAGGTACCCAGAGTAGTAGTGATGCTTCTAGGGGCAAGGCCCCCGCATTGGAGTAGTTGATGATGCAGCTGATGATTTTATATTATGTTTAGATTTGATGTTGGCATGTAGACTTGTTAACATGCTTAATTATTTTATGGAGATTATTGTATGTATTTATTTAGGCTCATGATAGTATTCTTAGAGCCATGGATTATTTACTTATACTTTTATACTTCGAATTAATATAGACTTGATGCATGTATTCAGTTAATTTGGGCATGGAGACTTATTAGTTGTATTGACCCATTAAGGGGATTGCAGTCCGTGTGGGACTTGCAAGCTATCTGTTTAAATTGTTGTATTAATTAGGTTATCTGTATGTGTAGAATCATGTTTCTAGTTATCCGAAATACAACCGTTATGCTGTCTGTGAGACTCCGTCAGGAATGACACTTGATGTCATATCTTGATGGTCAATGGCCACTAATACTGGCTCATGGGATTAATTAGTAGATGTATATTTAGATTTACGCTTTCGCAGTATCTGACGTGAACGTTTTTAGAAATGTTTTTATGAAATGTTTTGGAAAAAGTTTACTCGTATTTTTATAAGATGCTTTATTCCTTTTCAAATAAAGTCTTCCGCTGTGAATGTTAAATATCATGTATGTTAAGAACCGGAGTACTACGGGGTGTTACAAAACGCGTGACAATTTAATAAAATATATTGTATGCATGGCATTTAGAAAAAAAAATTAAAAAAATGTGACATTTAAGTCACTGTTATGAGATACAAAGTACAGAATCTTTTTCAGATATCGGAATGAATGGTGAGTAGCTACCGTTACTCTTACTCTCTAAATGACAGTAGCTTCAGGCAACTTCTCTCCACAAACACTTTCGGTGGTGTGATCATGTAAAACACGGTAGTTTCTAAGCCGCATTACCTATTTTGTTGCCGTGTTGTGCAAGCAACAGCAAAATAGAACACGCAAAGGGCAGGCCACGGGGGTGGGGAATGATTGGTTTTTTTTTTTTGAAATAGGAATGGTTGTTTTTGAAAACCACTTCATAGAGAGTTTCACTTCTCATTTTGGTCTATCTATACACGTACTTTGCTTGCATGATTGGAAACATCTTTGAAAAGTTTGCCCAATCTTTAAAAATTACTTCTCTTAGTGGGGGCACAAACAACATAAACTGTTCAATCCATCTTTAAAAGTTGTTTTCATTATCTTTTTTTACAAATTTTTAAAAATAAAAATAAAAAGTAAAGTGATATTTTTATAATTATCAATAAGAAAGGAATAAAGATAAATAATATTTTTGTAAGCTAGTTCTAAGTCTAACCATTGGAAAGTCTTCATACTTTTGAATCAAGCTTGGACTTTTATGTATTTATAAAAGAGTTTTATTAATCTCATGTTGAATGAGTTAGTTATCTCATGTCATAGAGACAAATTAATGGGTTCCCCCACTTGAAAAAATAAAAAAAAAATGGGAAAATGTGGCACAGTTATCGAAGCGTGTGTAGGAGAGAAAACTTGTCTCATGTGACATGAGAATAGTTTTTCCTTTTATAAAAAGACTACACCGAACCTTCCAAAAAAGCATATAATATATAATAAATGTGGCACAGTTATTTTTGTTTATATTTATTTTATGAAATTTGAATATTTGATTGGTTATATGATTTATTATAGGCTGTTATATGTATTAAATATAAATTATATTATATATATTAAAAATATTATTTAATATCAAAACGTGTCCCAACGTGTCGAAATATGACATTTTTAGAATTAACGTGTCGGCGTGTCGTGTCGTGTCCCGTGTCAGTGTCGGTGCATCATAGATGGGGAGTCAGCATCCATGTTATAGGAGGTCACTTTTTTCAGAAATAAGTGGTCTATTTGTTTCAAGTATCATCCTTCAAGGGAGGAAATATTTCAAAAATAAATTAAACTTTTATGCAAATAACAAACTCTGGCTAAAGACAAAGCATACCCTTCATCAACAATCTCGTCAAGGCATAAAAGATTCAGATCCAGGTTCTTAAGTGCCTCTCTTTTGTCAACATTATTCTTGGAAATGGCACAAAAGTAATATACACGATAAAAGCATGATGAGTAAAAGCGCAACAATATTTTAGATTCAGATACCAAAATACGGTTCACAATATCTCAAAAGGAGGGGGACTGCATCAAAGAAGGATTTATCTTCAACATAAGGCCATGTAGCTCCTCAAGCAGATCCCTCTGGATGTATAGCTTCAAAGGTTGCAGGACTCCACCACCGAAATATAAAGAAAACTATTCAGATACTGAAAATGAGTGTGCTTTCTTCCTAGATTGGATAATGTAGAAGAATAGATTGAGAAGAACCTTGATTTACTGAGCGAAACATAAGAACACATATCCTATTTATACACATACTAAATTCATTTTTTATATTAAAACTTATTTTTTAAAGCTTCTAACAATTAATAGCCTTAACAATTACCCATGCAGCATAGCCTTAACAACTACCCATGCATAAAGTATTGGTATATTGATACAATTGTTTGCCACCAATGAATTTTGAACTATTTTTCCACCTATCCAGTTCAAATTTTGAATTTGAAATGTTACTAAAAGAGGAAATATTTCAACGTGATTTTAAGTGTGAACATAAAGTGAAGATTAAAGGAGAGAGCGACACGTTAGCAAACTTACTAACATTGGTTTTAAGATTTTATATATTAAGAAGCTTACTCTTTATTAATAGAACCAACATGAGATTTCACACAATAGAAGTGTTAAAAAGAGAATTGTCAACATTTCTTATATAAAAACAGTTATCTAATACTCTTAATTTTAGGAACTATATTTGACTAAATTATTCTTTTATTCTATTAATGTTGTCTTTTATTTCATTTAATGTTAAGAGACATCGATAAAACATTAAAAATTAACTAATTTAAAAACTCTAAAGTGGTAATTATTTTGAAACCAAGGTATAGTTAATCAAGGCATTGCAACTGCCCCAATGTTATGATCCAAGTAAAAAATAAAAAATAAAAAATCCAATGGTACAACTTAAGTTTATTATTCTTATGTACCAAAAAAAGTTTGTTAATCTTAATTGGAAAATGTTATATTTATAAAAAATTTATTTACAAATTCTTACAAATTACATTATGTTTTACCAGTAAAACAGTTTCGAGTAAGATTATAAGATATAGTGTAGTTTGTAAGTTTGTAAAAAAAAAAATGTTGTCAATACAACCCTCCTCATCTTAATTTACTAATATTATAACAAAGTTTGGTGTTATTTTAAAAACAAACTGTAGAATAAAAAAATATACGTTCTAAAGTTTTTTTACTCATAATTTTAAATGAAATATCGAAGTCACATTACTCATTCTTTTAGCCAAAATTCTTTTTTGTCCTTAATGTTTCACCAAAGTTTTGATTTAGCCTCAAAAAAAAAATTCTGTTTCAATTATATCTTAAACATGTCAATATGGGTTCATCAATCATTAAAAAATTAAGCAACTCACTTGAAAGGTTTATATTCCTAAGATATGTTCTGCAAACAGCAATCTATATGTGACGACCAAAAGTCTAAATATGAATTAAAATAGAGATATAATTAACTTAAGAATAAGAAGTGTTACATTTTATCTTGTTATTAATTTATGTGTACATGACAATTGTAATTTATTAAAAATTAATAATTAATTAATGAATATAACTCAATAAATTACAATCTTTAAATACACATAGATTAACAGTTAAAACGAAATATCAAATTTTTACACATATATATAGGAAAAAATATTTCTCTGACAACTTGAGATAAGTTTATCTTCGGCCGCCTCAAACTATATCATTTTATTTATTTATTTTCTTATATTAATCGATTCACTTTTGAATGGTTATGATTCTCTCTTTTTTTCTCTTTTTTTATCATCATTGATCCATCTTTGTACGATTATGATTTAGTAGCCGGGGATAAAATTATCTCAAGCAGAAACGATATGGCTATATGTATATATATATATATATATATATATATATATATATATATATATATATATATGTGTGTGTGTGTGAAAGAAAATTACTGAAGACAAAAAAATTGGAAGAAAAAATTAAGATAAAAAAATAAAATAAAAAGAAATCACAATTATGAGTTTCAATATATTTAGTTTTATTTTTACTTTATTGTTTCTTTTTTATCCTTCATTTATTTTTTATTTAGATATGTTTCGTCTTTTTCTTTCTTTCTTTTTTCTATTTTTTTTTTTGGTAAGCTCTATTTTATTCTTATTTATTTAGATATGTTTCATTTTTTTTTTATTTTTTCTATTTTTTTCTTATTTTTTTCTCCATTTTTTTAGTCTTGTTTCACCTCATCTACTAAATACTTTTGTTTCACCTCATCTACTAAATACTTTTGTAAAAATTAATAAAAAAAGAGAGAGAATAAAATAGATCGAATGTATCTGAATAAAAATAATAAATAGACCAAGGATATAAAAATTAAAAATAAATATATTGAAAATTTATAACTGTGATTTTTTTTTCTTCTATTTTTTTTATATTTTTTATTTAGACACATTTGATTTTTTTTTACTATTTTTTCTTTGTCTTTTATTAAAAGTTATAATTTTTCACAATATTTGCTCATTCTATTTTTATTTTATTATTTTATTTTCTTCTTTTAAGAATGATAGAATAGATATCTTCAGTTAATTTTTTAACCGTGTTAAGAAGGAATATAAATGGAAAAAAATTAGTGTTACAAAAATTAGACCGAATCAACGGATTCAAATTGAAAATCGATAAACCGGCATGTGCCCGATATGGGGAGAGCGATGGATCGAAAATACAAGTGAGTCGGTGTGACACGACCGATTTTACTAAAATCAGTGACTAAAAAATAAAAAACTTGATTGGAATGAAATCGAACAATTTAGATCTCACATAGAGGGAGGAGTCTAATACAATGAAGAGGAGACGTGAGAAGAAAAATCGGCCATCATCTTCGGTCGTTGAAGAGAAGATTAGTGAGAGAGACTATAATACCATAAGTGAGAGAAAGAGAAAATGCGCAGAAGATATTACTTTTTGGTTTCTATGCACCACACATTCCTTATCTTATCTCCTCTTTTTTTCAATTTTTTTTATTATTTAAATTTTTAATTTTTATTTCTATTATTTTTACTTTCTTTAATATAATTGGTACTGGCTACTGCATTTGTTTTTTTGTTTGATTTGGTCTTTGATACCTTAAATATTTACTTTTATGTCAAAAAAAATTTAAAAAAAATTGAAATATGAAATATGAATTTTAAATTTATATATATTTATTTGATTCAAGTGTTGAACTAATAATTCACTGATTAAACCAATGACTTAATATCTCGACCGATTCTATTACCAAACTGGATCTAATAACATTGGAAAAATTACAGAGTTAAGTTATTAAAAAAAATACAAAAATATAAGTGATTTAAAGTAATATCATATGAACTTTTTCTCACTTTTTCTAAAAAAAGTATTATTTCTCTCTGTCTTAAAAAAATATAATTATTTTTTGGTAAACAAAAATACAACTTTATATCATTGAATATACACTTTTTCTTTTATATAATTAATAATATTTTTCGCTTCCCAATAGTAAAAGCATGAATGAACACTCTCAGTAGAGAGGGCGCTTCTTTTCACTTCCTCTATAAATAAGTAAATACACTTTACACTCTATCTCATCAAAGCCCAACTGTTTTGTGTCATTCATTTAAGGTATGTACTTGAAACCATTACTTCTACCATCGTTGCCTCCTTTTTTTCCTCGTATTGTTATCGTCGTCGTCATCATCTTTGATATCTCGGATTAACATGAATGGTTTTTGTAAGATCCACTTAACTTCTTACTGGGTGGGTACTTATGCCTCTCATGCTATTGGTTGTTCATGAATTTTATCCTCCTGTTACAATTTATTCTGTTTGAGATTACCCAAATCTTAATTTTGTTTAAGTTATGTTTTTTTTTTTACTTCTTTTTTGTGTTCATATACTATGTTTATCAACCGATCCAAACCGCGGTAATCGAACAGAAAAATCGATAACCGAATAAATCGAAAAATCGAAAACTGAAAAAAAATCGCAAATTTTAATTGGATTTAGATCGGTTTTTGGATGGGTTGATAAAAACCGATCTAATATATTAATTCCGCTCTACCTACTTGGGTTTTTCCCTAATCATAGCCCAAAAATTTCTAAATCCAAGACTCATTAATCCATCAACTAAAGCCAAGAAAAAATCTAGTCATATCTCACCAATAAAATTTTATCTTTGTAAACCTTCATATCATATCTCATTGTCCACAAAAAAATTATATTATAGTTTACTAATGTTTTTGTATTTAAAAAAAAATAAAAAATTTCAAAGCCAATATATAGAAAGATGTAATTTGCACAATAATCAAGAAATAAATTTTGGGATTTTCAAAAAACCGAAAATCGATCTAATCCAAACTGAAAAAAATCGGATTGGATCGGATCAGATTTGAAAAAAAATCCAAACCGAATGGATGATTATATGATCAAACCGAAAGGATTGGATCAGATGTTTTTTGCTTCAAAAACCGATCCAATCCAGACCGCGAACGTTCTGTACTGGCATAAAACTACGAGGAGGATATTCTCATTACCAAAAATTTTCACTATCAACTTACTACCTATCTAATCACCATTAGATTAACATTTTCTCTCTCCTCAAACACTTTTTAAAATTCTTTCTCTTTAATCCAATGGTGGTGTGATGGGTAGTAAGTTAGTAGTGAAAATTTTTGGTAGTTAGAATATACACACTCTAAAACTACTATATGCTTTTTCTTCACTTATTTTTCCCTTTTTCTATGCATTAGATGATTATTGTAGGTTTTATTTTATTTCCCTTTTCATAATTGTTCATCACGTTTCTGTAGTTTAGTTGGCTGATTGGATACCCCTGTATATGCTTTTACGTTTTTTTTTTTTTTGCAAACTCTGTTTTACTTGTTTATAGTTTACTGAATTCTTTGTATGCTTCCAAAGAGAACTACTTGGACATGATTGTCTACATCTAGATTTCCCTTTTGTTCATTTCTGATTGAAGAATTCTCTTGTATTGTGTTGTCAGTGAATTTGATGAATATATATCATTCTTTACAATCTGCATATTTTAATATCTTTCTTTAATCAATAATTAGTTAATTATTAATAAAGATTTTGCTGACAGATCAACATGTGTTTTGTATCTCAAGATTTGGTACTTTTTTTGGCAATACTTCTTCTGCTGGTATTGGGCACACCATACTCAGGTGTTCTTGGGAAGAGTGAAAATAATATAAAAACAGTTGTTTATCTGTCTCCCAAGTTTGAACTAGGACCGGGATCAGTTGCCAAAAAATATTATTATGATATTGATTTTCCAAGAGGTCATGTTGCACTCAAGAGTTTCAATGCTGAAGTAGTTGATGAAGCTGGCAACCCTATACCTCTCCATGAAACTTATCTCCACCATTGGGTTGTTGCAAGATACCATCAACCTAAGCATGTGACACACACACAGTATGATGCCCACAGGTTGCTTCACCAGTCTGGTTATATAGTAAGAAACAGTGGCATATGCCAGGAAGATGCTCTTGGACAGTATTTTGGACTTGGATCTGAAACACGAGGAACAGCTACAGATATTCCAGATCCTTTTGGTATAGAAATAGGTAATCCTGCAGAAATTCCAGAAGGGTATGAGGAGAAATGGATGGTGAGTATCCATGCCATTGATACACGTGGTGTAGAGGATAAGATGGGGTGCACTGAGTGCAAGTGTGACCTTTATAATGTGACTAAGGATGAATATGGAAGGCCTTTGAGGTCAGATTATTTAGGAGGTTTGTATTGTTGCTATGATTATACTCAGTGCAGGTTGAGGGAACGCTTTGAGGGCCCAAGGAGAAGCCTCTACCTAAGATACACAGTAAAATGGGTTGATTGGAATGATTTTATAGTGCCTGTTAAGATTTATATACTTGATGTAACTGATACTTTGCAAATATCAGATAATTCCAAAGGAATGAGCCCATATCATGATTGCCTGGTAAGTGAATTCATCAAGAAAAATGTAGATTGTCTCAATGTCAATTTGAATCCAAAATGGTATAAATGAGCAATTGAGATTTCTTTGTTACAGATTGAGTATCATGTTGAACCTTGCAGCAGAGGCAATAAGGATGGTAATGGCTGTCATCATGTGAAGAGGACAAGTCTCCCAATGCAAAGTGGTGGTTTTGTCATCTATGGTGTTGCTCATCAGCATTCAGGTGGAACTGGATCAACTCTTTATGGACAGGTGATGTTCCACAGTTACAGTCATTCTTTTTTTGGAAATATGTTAATTGCGCAATTTTGACCCGGTGTGATAAAAACCAAAGATTGTCCTAAAGATGCTTTTCCTAGGATTGAATTTTCATTCTTGGGATTCAAACACTCACTTTTAACCACTGTGATCGGCACCATGGGGTGTTACAGTCATTCTTAAATTAATATTTGGATATCACTTTCTAGTGACATAACTTTATAATAAAACCAATCATGGAAGAGGGTAATGAATAATGATTCTGCCCTTGAAATTAAAAGGGATGGACGATGGTAGTGAAGCTTTGTTTTCTAAAAGATGTGCATAACATTTTCAGGATGGAAGAGTTATATGTTCTTCATTACCAAGTTATGGAAATGGAAAGGAAGCAGGAAATGAGGCAAACTACATTGTAGGAATGTCCACTTGTTATCCTCAACCAGGTTCTGTCAAGATATTTGATGGTGAAACTTTAACTCTAGAGTCTAACTACAGCAGCAGCAGAGGGCACACTGGAGTCATGGGGCTTTTCTACCTATTGGTGGCAGAACAGCTGCCACTCCAACTCTTCGGAGATTCCTCTCGTTCTTCATTATTTATGGATATAAATAATATATTTAACTGATAGGTACAGGGGAAGGCTAGGGTGGGTGGCCGCTATCCCAAAAAATTTGAAAAAAAATTAATGGAGTTGAAGGCTAAACAAGATACTGATGTTACTGTTAAATGTTCTTCTGGAAGTTCTGATTTGAGATTCAAGTTAAAATCTACCTCTACCTCATCTAATGTGTGTGCTATGTGTAACATTTTCTGTATTTTTTATTTTATTTTCATATGCTATGTTTTGGTTAATAAAAGTTTTGGCCTTTTTGCTATCCTTTTGCTCTCTTTTCATTTGCATGGTTGTGTTTCTCTTTGTGTAGTGATTTCATATAAAGAAAATGGATTTGCTCTAACTTAAAAGATTCACTTTTTAGGACAACTTGGTTGCAGTCTTTTATTTTATTTTTAAAAAAAATTATAATTAAAAACATCGTTTTAGTCAAGGCACTTTATTTTTAATTATTGTTTTGAACTACTTTTTATGTCGGACCTGGCCAACGGTACATTTTTTCAGTTTTTAAAATATTGTTAAATATTAATATTTTAATAAGAAATTACCTAAATGAGTTTCATAAAGATATGAGGTCAATAGATAAAAAAAATATTAATATTATACAAGACAAAAAATTAATTTTCGTCCCGCTCCAATCCTGGCTCAGCGACTGGGTACTTAGTAACATGCTTATATAAGTGGAGTGGAGTGGCATCGGTGGCAGCTATATAATTATACGATGATCAAAAGTAATAAGGGGATGTGTAATTGGAAATATTATACTTGTTATTGTCTGCAGCTATAGGACAACACAAGCAAGAGCCAGCAATGGGTTATGGGTATATTCAATAGTGTGAAGAATATAGTAATCGGATTATCAGTCATTTGATTCCGTGTGTTGGTGGTAGTTTGTACTGTTGTCCTAAATCACTCTCGCTTATATGGCTCTGTAATATATTTTGGGTACCATGTAGCTCTGTCTGTCTCGACATGCAACAGTCTTCCATATGTAAGATAAAATGTCTCTAGATTAATAGAACCATATTTATTTACGTGTAAACTATTTTTTGGGTCTTCAATAAATATTATGAAACTCAATTTAATTCTTTCAAAAAAAAAAAAAAGTCAATTCTAGATTTTTTTAAAATTTAAAATAGATCTATGTTAATTTTTTTGAAGGATTAATATGAGTCTTTTTTTTAATTTTAGAAGAATTACAATTTCGACTAATTGAATTTATTTTAAATTTCAGAGAAATTAAAAATTGATTTTTTTTAAAGAATTAAAATGAGTTCATAATTTTTGTTAGTGATCCAAAATATAATTTATTATTTATTTATTTTTGTCTTTGACTAAATACTCATCTTATAATTCAGAATGAATGGTGAGAAGGTAACGTTGCTATCTAACACTGACAGTTGCTTCAGGCAGCTTCTTTCCACAAACAAACTGTTGGTGGTGTTCATGTAAAACGTGGTAGTTTCTGAGCCACATTCTTTTTGTGATCGTTGTTGTACCTGTTGCCGTGTTGCTGCAGCAAAATAGAACAAGCAAAGGGCGGGCCACGTGGGTGGGGAATGGTTGGTTTGAAAATCACTTCATAGAGTTTCACACTTGCACTTCTCATTTTGGTGAGGTTTGTTTTAGTCACTGTTTTAACAATCGGCTCGGACACCCAGTAAAAACCGGATCAACCCGACAGTTTACACAAAAAACCAGAGGACCGCCAACTCGCGTTAAACCGAAACAATGTAACCAACATGGATTTCAATCATTTATCAAGGGCATGTTTGGTTGAAGATAAATTTTTGAATACTAAGAAAATATAATTAATAGAGAAATGGTTAGAAAGTGAGTTTGGTAGAAAAATATAAAAAAAGTTGTTTGGTTGGAGAAAATTTTACCGGGCAAATTAAGTAAGATTTATAAAATCTATGTTTGGTTTAAGGTAAAATATAGATGAGAAAATAAGTGACAATTATAAAAATATCCCTGTTTTAAAATTACTGTGTTTAAAAATTCAGATGCATAATCTGAAAAGATAACTGAATCAATTCCAAATTTGTACAAGTTAAAAAATGAATAAAAGCTGATTTGTGGGTGTGTAGACTGCAACCTATAATTCAGATGGCAACGTGAACATCTTGTGTATTTGACCCTTAGCAGCGTTGTTATCATCGGTGGTCTATGAAGACAATGTCGTCTTCCCCTCACCTCCCACAGTGAGCAATGCTTTTGACCAGGGATGCTTCAATGGGGTTTCAAATGATAAAGAAAAAAAAGTAAATCAAGCCCAACATGCACAAGCATTTCCGTTTCCCATGGGTCTGTTTGATGAGAGATATTCTAGAACAACATATTTTGATCTTCTTTGCTTCCTACTTCAATCCACATTTTTTTAGAGGAGAGAGGAACTGATTACACGAAGATCAGGGGGCATTTCAGTAACAAATAATGCGCCAATGTTTTCACTTATATAGCCATCTGCAAATACCACCTCGCTAACCTCGCAAGTGGTTCGAAACCGTGTTTTTTGAGTACAATTTGCACACAATGTTGAATTTCATGGGGAACTAGTTGCCTGGTTTAATTTTTCAAACTCTTCTACCAAACATGGCATAATGCAATCCCCACCTTCACTTACCCAGCAATCTCACAAGAAACCACCAACCAAACACACCCTAAGGGGTTTATCAATATTATATTTTGTCATACGGTAGTCAATGTGGAACTCTTAAACATTCCAAAGCTTGTGATGTTCATCCACGATCATTGGATGATGCTCCCCATGATTGCAAGAAGGTTGACTGTTTGAGAGATCCGAAGCAAAGGAAACGAGAGGGATGAGAGAAGAATTGTTGGAGGGGAATGGCCTGATCGTGGCGTCCATCTTCTTCAAGCTTGTGAAGAAGCTCAAACGCTGTAAGAATGTAGTTCTCTTCCGACAGAAAGTTTACAATGCAATTTTGCATAAGGAACATCGCTCCACATCCATTTTTCCACAGATCTGATTTTCTCATTCTCATTCAACTTCAACAAACCATCAATTTTCCAATTTTAATCGGAATTCCGCACTTCTCTTTCTCTCTTATGTCCATGACAATATCTAATTACCTTTTTGTCAACAATCTATTAAATGGGTTGTATTCTTGGTGTTGAATTTACTATGTTCTCAGTCTAGCATGTGATTATAATAAACCGCTTCAACTAGTTCATCTCAAGATTGTACATTTCTGGACCACAGGTTTATGAATAAATTTACTATGTTCTCACTATGAATTTTGTAGTACGTTTCTAGTGAAAGTCAAGTGCGAAGCTGATTCAACAGGAAAACCAGTTGGACTATTTTGAATTTTGTTCAGTTTGATCTTCGTATATCATTTGAAGACAATGAATGACAGCAACCTATCATCATGCTAGTAACTTGACTTTGTTGTAGGCTTATAGCGATTACAATGATACCATTATAAAACTAAAATATCTTCTTTTATTTTTCAAACTTTAAAGACTACCTTGTATATTATATATTATTTTAAAATCTAGTTGAACCCGGTTAAACCACTGACTCAGTAACTCAGTACCACGACCGAATCGATGACCGGTCCGAGTTTTAAAACACTGGTTTTAAGTGGTCCCTGTGTACTAGGGCTCTGCATGGGTCAGGTTGGATCGGATTTTTGTGCCGACCCGACTTGGTTTTATAGGTCAGATATTTTAACTCGATCCAATTTAATTTGATCCAAATCAGGTCTAACTCGGTTTGAATTTTTATGAACTGATTCAGAACTGGATCAAATCTGACCTGACTTGGTTTCAGAAGTGGGTCAGACTTGGTTTCAAAATTGGATCAAATCCGACCTAACCTGCTTTTGATTTGGTTTCAAAACTTATTTTTGATTTGATTTTTTTTACAGTTATTGATTTAATTTTTAAACTCGTGTAATTTAATTATTTATTTGTTTTAAAATATATAAATTATATAATAAATTTGATATTTGTTGAATAAATAAAGGAATGTAATTTTTTTTAAAAAAAATGTTATTTGATTTTTCTACCGCATAAGGATTGAAAGCAGTTTCATTGACCAATTCAAGCTTGTACCATGGTATAAAATATGGTTAAATTTTCAAATAAGATCGCATAAAGAGTAATATAAATACCCTTTGTCTAGGTCCAATAAGTTGCACCAATTACAAAGTCTGAGAAACCGCCAAATGATCAGATATGACGCTTAAATGATAAAGAGACAAATATATGGAGCCAATCAGTAAGAACTTTTGACCTGTTTCGCTCTAAAAACTGAATTTTTTTAAAGCTCACTGACTACCCTTCCTCCATATAAATGTCCAAACCAACACAAAGAAAACCATAGCAACCAAGCTTCAGTAGCTTAAAATAATTGCTCTTATAAGCTTAAGAAAAATTAAGGAGACAAAAGGAAAATGGCAAGGAAGAGAAAGGTTGCTGAAGCAGTTGAAGAGAGCAATCCATCTGAGGCAACAATGGCATTGGATGAGGTGATGAAGGAAGCTACAGCACTAGGAAGTGATTTTTCGGTTTATTTTCACATAATGGGTATGGGTCAAGTTTTGGGTCAATAGATCAATTATTAAAATAAGTCAGGTCTAAAACTAACCAAAATAAATATGGATCAATATTTAAATCCAATTCAAAAAAATAAGTATTTATGAATCAGGTCAATGTCATATCAAAGGCAGGACAAGTGAACCAATTTTTTTGCATATCCTTACATTATGGTCCCCTTCAAAAAATAGTAAAGGACACAGGATTGGGAGAGATTTTTAAAGAATTGAGAGATTGGGAGGAAAATATATTTTTTCAAAAATAGAAAACGGGGCAATTCCCATTTTGGTCTATACATGTACTGTGCTTGCGTCATTATTTTTTTTATAAATTTTTTAAAATAAAATTAAAATTAAAAGTAAAGTGACATTTTTATGGTTATCAATAAAAAAGGAATAAAAATAAAAATACTTTTGTAAGCTTCTTAACCATTGGAAAGTCTTCGTATAATGTAAGCTTCTAACTAGACTTTTGACTCAAGCTTAGACTTTTATGTATTTATAAAAAGACTAGACTGAACCTTCCAAAAAAGCATATAATTGATAATAAATCAAGTTCAGACCGACATTTTAAAACATAAACATAGGCCTATTTTTTTTTATATATAACATAGGCCTATTTTTATCCTTACATGTTATTAAATTTCAAAGCAATTTGGACAATTTTCCCCCACAATCGGCTTGTGAAGCCCATCAACA